CAGAGACACCGGGGACCTGCTGAGAGGATTGCAGGGTGCAGCTGTGCAGACATGCCCTACACAACAAGGTTGTTCACCTGAGGGTAGGTGGGCACTGGAACCCAGCCCACATTCTACTTGTCCAAATGTGTGGGGATGCTGCACCTAGGGGAAAGTGTGCCTTTTCCTAATTCTCATAACAAAGACGCCAAGTCCCTAGCCCACCTGAACACTGTCCAGAGGAGGTACTTTTCCTACTTCCTACAAAGGTGCCCCATGAACTAGCCAATACCCTTGGAGAGGGCAAGGAGGCTAGAGGGAGCCCGTCTGCGATGGTGAAGATCACCTGGCACAAGCATTCCCTTTTACAAAACTCTTTGGACACATCTGGTCTCACAGCAAACCTGAGAGACAGGTGGACCCTCTCTCACTTTATAGATGAGAAAGCCAAGGCCCAAAAATAGGAAGTGTTTTGGGCTAAGGTCACCCGTGGAGCACGAAGGCAAGCCCTGAACCCAGGTCTTTTGACTCCGAATTCAATATGCCTCCCTTTCCACCACTTTTCCCTCCAGACACAGATATTTCCACCAACCTGTCCACTGCCTCAGTTTCCCTTTTTGCAAAAATAGGGGAGACAAGTAGAATGAGTCTTGGGATGGAGGGTGAAGGAGACAGCAAAACCCAATAGAACCGACCAAACCAAAACCAGCGTTTTGCCTTCTGAGAGTATGGGAACATTTCAATTCTTTGTGACCCTGCTGCTCTGCTCTCCTAGCAGGTCCTGTCCCAGAAGTACCTGCCTGCCCCACCCCCAGCAATCTCCCTGCTGGGTCTGGTGTACCAACCAGCACCAGAGAGCTCTTCTGTGTATCCAGTACCCAGCCTCTGTTTCACCCACCGCTTCCCATTTCCGAGATCCCTAGGTACCCGTCCTTCCCTACACTGCCTTCCAGAGGTGGGAGGGTGTCAGGTGGGCATCATAGCTGCAGGGAACGAAATGGCTGTTTCTAGCTCTGTCCAGGTGGTGCTCAAAATAGTCATCTTCAAAGAGAAAAAAACTGGGACGCAGAGAGGTGGGCAGACCCAGAGTCTCGGAACCGACGGGGGTAGGTGTAGCGATGTCAGGCTAAGAGCGCCCCTCCCCCCGCCCAACCCAACTCCCCGATTACCCCTTCCCTCTAGCCCCTCCAGAACACCCCTCCCAACTTACCTTGAAAGCCCCTCATGCTCCCAAGAAGATAAATCCCCCATTCACAGAAGCCAATTAATCATTTCTTATGGAAAAAAAAATCCCTCAGAAAGGGGTATCCCAGACCCTCTCTGTCCCCCGACCTTCCTTCATCCATCCCTTCAGAGAAAAAGCCCTTGAGCCTCTTTCATGAAAAAAGCTCCTAGGTCGTCCTTTCAGAGAAGGACCCGGTTCCTCCGCGTCTTCCCCGCCCCCGCTCCCAATAAAGGAGAAACCTTGCCCCCATCATCCCGCCCCCGAGCTGCCCTCACCTGGCTGGGGGCGGCGGTCGGATCGGGTTCGCTCCGAGCCCGCGATCCGGCTCGGGCTCCGGGCTGCGCACTGGCGCCCGCGCTGCGGCGAGCCGGGCCTGGC